CAGGTAAACTAAGGTGACCTAGAATGTGAGACAGTACAAATCAAAATTTTATCTGTCCTTACCTCCTCCACATCCAGCTTCACTTGTAGTATGCATTGTGTGGATTCACAGTAGTTCAGTAGTTTTTGTTTTGTTTTTATTTATTTTTACAGCCAAAGTAGGTAGCACCAGAAGAAAAAAAAAGCACAAATTTCAGTTAGCACATACTTTTTTTAATTCTTTTACTGATTTGGTTCTTTGACATTTCTGGGGATTAAACTTTAAAAAATGTTCTTCTTTTCTGTATCTGATGTTCTGTGTGCTATTAGTGATGCAGCCAACACGAACGGTTGTCATGTGTAAAACAACTTTCGATCACCGCGAAAACACCGCCCTGGGAAAGCGTCCATGCTTGATATCGTTTGGTTCATGAACATTAAGTTTCCAGTACAGGTGACCCATAGCTCAAAGTGTTAAATACTTGTATACATTATTCAGTTTTTAAAATAATAATCCATTAATGAGATTGCTAGTTTTTGAAGTTTTGCTCACTTTTGTTTTTCCTAGTAGAGCAGGGTAAAAGTTCTTATTTATTTCTTTGTAAGGATCTGGTAGATAGATTCATTTTTATTTATTATATTTTTAAATGCAAGGTAATTGTAAAATCATAGAGTAACATCTGTGTAGTGTTCCAACTCTGTGTAATGCTTTCATTTGCTTCTTCAGGTAAAATCCCAGATGAAGCGAAAGCCCTTTCTCTATTGGCGCCTGCTCCTACAATGACAAGCCTGATGCCTGGTGCAGGGTTGCTTCCTATACCTACACCAACCCCTTTGACTACAGTAAGTAAAACACAGTTGCTATTTGATTTCTGGTTTTCTCTGTACTTGGTAGCCTTTTCTGTGTTCAAAGAGCAAGAAATATCTGATCCATGGATGTTGTCCTCTTGTGTGATCGGTGAGGGTTTAGCTGTGATGGGTAGATCACAAGATGTCTATGTACTGCCTTTCCTGGGTGTTTCTTTCAGATTATTATTTTGCAAAATAGTGAGTACATACTGATTTTGGTTGTGTCCGTTTTAATTGTTGTCCTTCCCTAGAACCATTAATTTGGTCAAGTGGCAGTGCTGTCCACTACCTAAATAATTGTTAAAACGTAATAGTTACCTTGACACAGTTCTTTAGAATATTAAAATACTGCATTAGGGTGCTTTTTATTTGATACCTCTATGATAGGGCTTTTGACTGTTTGCCTAACAATGTTTTCACTACAAAAAGCATAGGAGCTAGCTGCTGCTACTTCTGCTCAGTTGCCTTTTGCCTCTGTAAGCCTTTCTTGACATGAGCGGGCTGCTGTGACCTATTCAGGGAAAATTTCAAGTTAAAATAGTGTAGTTTTCTCTTTTGTTACATTAAAAAAAATTACTGGTGGTGGCTTGTTGAGAGTTTCTCACACTTGTTAGAAATTTTTTTTCCTGGAAAGACAATTCCTTTTTGCGTGGAGAAAGTAAAATGGAAACCAGTAACTCAACAGACCAATTTAGTAGTGATTTTTAAGTGACTTTTAAAAAAAATAACAATCCCCAGGAGGCATTTCAATTCCCAGTTCCAAAAATGAGAGCTGTATTCTCATTCTCTAGGAAATGACTCTGTTTGTAGGGA